GGGCGGAAATGGGGAAAATGGGAATTAAAGGGGGGGAAATGGGGGAAAATGGGGAAAATGGGAATAAAGGGAAATGGGGAAATGGGAATAAAGGGGGAAATGTGAATAAAGGGGGAAAGTGGGGAAATGTGAATAAAAGGGGAAAATGGGAAATGGGAATAAAAGGGAAAAGTGGGGAATGGGAATAAAGGGAAAAGGGGGGGGAAATGTGAATAAAAGGGGGGAAATGGGGAAAAGTGAATAAAAAGGTAAAAAGGGAAATGTGAATAAAAGGGAAAATGGGAAATGTGAATAAAAGGGAAAAGTGAATAAAGGTAAATGGGAAATGTGAATAAAAGGTAAAAGAGAAAAGTGAATAAAGGTAAAAAGTGAATAAAGGTAAATGGGAAAAGTGAATAAAGGTAAAAATGAATAAAGGTAAAAGTGAATAAAGGTAAAAGTGAATGAAGGTGAAAAGTGAATAAAGGTAAAATGTGAATAAAAGCTAAAAAGTGAATAAAGGTAAAAGTGAATAAAGGTAAAAGTGAATGAAGGTAAATGGGAAATGTGAATAAAAGTGAATGAAGGTAAAAAGGTAAAGTGAATAAAGGTAAAAGGGAAATGTGAATAAAAGGTAAAAAGGGAAATATGAATAAAGGTAAAAGTGAATAAAGGTAAAAGGTAAAAAGGGAAATGTGAATAAAGGTAAAAGTGAATAAAGGGAAAAGGTAAAAGTGAATGAAGGTAAATGGGAAATGTGAATAAAAGTGAATAAAGATAAAAAGGTAAAAGTGAATAAAGGTAAAAGGTAAAAGTGAATAAAAAGGGAAATGTGAGCAGGGCCCGAGGGGCGGCCCCGCGGCGGGCGGAAGCCGCCGGCCCAGCCGTAATTAACGCTCGGTGCTAATTGGGGGCTGTCTAGACGGGGCCTTTGTGCCGCCCGGGGCCGCCGCTCCAGAAAATGCAATTTTGGCCCTTTTGGACCCTTTTTGTTCTGATCCCGTCTGGATTTGGGTTTGGGTTCTGCTTTTTGGCCTTTTAAATTTTATTTTTGTCCTTTTTTTGGCCTTTTTAATTTTATTTTTGTCTTTTTTTTGGGCCTTTTTAATTTTATTTTTGTCTTTTTTTTGCCTTTTTAATTTTATTTTTGTCCTTTTTTGGCCCTTTTGAATTTTATTTTTTGTCCTTTTTTTGGGCCTTTTAATTTTATTTTTGTCTTTTTTTGGGCCTTTTTAATTTTATTTTTGTCTTTTTTTGGCCTTCTTAATTTTATTTCCCCCCCCCCTTTTTTTTTTTTTTTTTGGCTTGTTTTAATTTCTGTTTTTTTGGCCTGTTTTTAATTTCTATTTTGTGGGGTTTTAATTTCTATTTTGTGGGGTTTTTTCATCTTAAAAACGCCTCATTTTTTACCCTTTTCCCCCTTTTTTTCGCTTTATTTTGGCTTTTAAAACTTCGTTTTCCTTACCTTTATTTATTTCATTTTTATCCTCTCTTTTTAGCTTTTTTTGCCATCCTTCAAACTGGTTTTTTGCCCTTTTTCCCTTTTTTTTTTGGCTTTATTTTGCTTTTCTTTTGTATTTTTCCCCCAGGCCGCGAAGCCGCCTCTGATCTTTGTGTTTATTTTCATTTTCCCTTCAAAAAAAAATCGAATTTTTCCAAGGTTTGGGCCCAGCGGAAGCAGCGGAACCGAAGAGAAACAAAGCGAAATAAAGAGAGAAAAATGGAAATAAAATAGAAAAAAAAAAAAGAGAGAAAAAGAAAAATAAACAGAAATAAAGAGAAATAAAAAGAAATCAACTGAAATAAAGAGAAATAAAATTATTTTCCCCCCCCCCAATTTAATCAGAACCAGCCCAGGCCGCTCCCTCGCAGCCCTCGCACGGATTTAATTTGGATTTAATTTGGATTTAATTAGGATTTAATTGCGATTTAATTGCCGCGGGCCCGCACCCGCCGCATTTTTGTGGTTTTCCCTCCATATTTTCCCCTCATAAAACGCGGGCCCCATCAAAGCCGATTTTTCTGGGCTTTTTTGGGGCTTTTTTTGTTGTTTTTTTTTCCCTCTTTTAGCGGCGGCCTTGAAAGGAGCCGGGGACGTTCCGGGAGCGCGCGAATAAACGAAATAAATGAGATTTTTTTGGGGCCTTTTCCTCGCTTTTTCTCCCCCCCAAAGTCCATAAAACCCCAACGGGGCCGGAATTGGCGGCTCCGAGCCCGAACCGCGCCCTTTGGCCCCACAGAAAATCCGGAAAAAACAACAAAAAGTGGCAAAAAAAAAAAAAAATGGAGTTTGTGGCTGTGAACTTGCGGCGATTTGGGCAAAACTTGAACTTTGCCCGCGGGGTCGGCAGCCTTGACTGAGGGAACCGCGATCCCCAATTCCCCCCGTTCTCGGGTCGGGTTTGGGGTATTTTGGATTATTTTGGGTATTTGAATTTTTGTGGGGTATTTTGAATTTTTTTGTGGGGTATTTTGAATTTTTTTGGGGTATTTTGGATTTTTTTGGGGTATTTAGAATTTTTTTGGGGTATTTTGAATTTTTGGGGGGGTATTTTGATTTTTTTTTTTTTTTGTATTTTGAATTTTTTTGGGTATTTTGGATTTTTTTGGGGTATGTTGGATTTTTTTGTGGGGGGTATTTTGGATTTTTTTGTGGGGTATTTTGAATTTTTTGGGGTATTTTGAATTTTTTTTTTTTTCCAAAGAGAGGGAGGTCTTGGAAAGGGTAAAAAATAAAAAATTAAATTAAAATAAATCTGGGGGGATTTGAATCGTGAGGGGCAAGGATTTAAAATGGGGGAGGAACGGGGAGGTTTGGGATAATAATAATAATAATAATAATAATAATAATAATAATAATAATAATAATAATAATAATAATAATATAATAATAATAATAATAATATGAGAATAATAATAATATGAGAATAATAATAATATGAGAATGAGAATAAAATAATTTTAAAAGGAATAGGAACAATAAGAATAGGAAAATAAGAATAAAATAATAATAGGAATAGGAATAAGAAAATATAAGAGTAAGAAAATAACAATAATAAGGATAATAGGGATAGGAATAAGAAAATAGTAATAATAATAATAGGAATAAGAAAATAATAATAATAATAGGAATAAGAAAATAATAATAATAGGAATAGGAATAAGAATAAGAAAATAATAATAATAATAGGAATAGGAATAAGAAAATAATAAGGTTAATAGGAATAGGAATAAGAAAATAATAAGGTTAATAGGAATAGGAATAAGAAAATAATAATAGGAACAGGAATAAGGATATTTTTAAAAATATAGATAATTAAAATTGAAATAATATTTAAAAATAAAGAAATAAAAATAAATTTAAAATCAAACAAAGTAAAAATAAAAATTAAAAAAAATACATTTAAAATGAATAGAAAATAAACAGAAAAATAATTTAAAAAATAAAATAAAATACATAAAAAGAGAAAAATAAATAGAAAAAATAAATGGAAAAATAAATAGAAAAACAAATAACCGGAGGAGAAATAAAAGCGCCAAGGTCACCCCATAAACCCAACGGCCCCGGCCGAATCTGGGCCGGATCCGGAGGAAATTCCCGATTTTGGCCGGGAAGCCCCGGCCCCAACGACCGCAAGGAGGCTTTAAAAGGGAAATTCCAATAAAACGTCAAATAAAACCCTGATGGAGAACAGGCCGTGAACGTCTTTATTCCGCACCTCCCCTCCTCACACACACACAGAAATTCCGCTTTTTTTCCAGCATTTTTCACCTTTTCCGGGAGCTTTTCCTCCGCTGCTTCTTCTCCTCCCGTTTCCCGAGGAGAAAAAACGAAAATAAAATCAAAATACAAAAGGGACCGCGCGGGGGTTTCTGTACAGAGCGTGGGCAAGGGGATTTTTCTCAGGCCAAAAATTGAATTTTCCAGCCCGTTCTCCCCTAAGGATGCGGGGATTTGGGTTTTTGGGGGGAAATGCCCCAAATCTGGGGTTTGGGGATGGAAATTTCCAGGGTTGGGTTGAAATTCCCGTGTGCCTGAAGGAGAATAAAAATAAAAATAAAATAATATAATAATAATAATAATTATTATATAATATATAAAAAAGGTATCACAGACTGTCGGAGAGAAAAAACAACAAAGGGGGAAAATAAAATTAAATAAAGTCCGTGGAGTTCAAGTCCTTGAAATTAAGGGGGAAAATCAGCGAAAAATCAGAAAAATCAGGAAAAATAACAGGGAAAATAAGGGATATAAGGAAAATAAGGGAAAATAGGGAAAAATAAGGAGAATAAGGAAAAAATCCGGGAAAATCAAGGAAAAAATGGAGAAAAATCAGGAAAAAACCACATTAAAAACCCAATGGGAAAAAAAAAATATAATAAACCAGGAATAAATAGGAAAAAAATTAGAAAAAAATCCGGAAAAGAAAACAAAAACAGGAAAAAAAACCAGAAAAAGTTGGAAAAAATCAAAGAAAAAAATCAGAAAAAAACAGAAAAAAATAGAAATAAATAGGGAAAATCAGGAAAATATTAGGAAAAAATAAACAGAAAAAAAAACTGAAAAAAAAATTAAATATCTGAAAAAAATCAGAAAAATTTGAAAAGAAAGTTGGGAAAATAAAAGGGAAAAAAAAGGGAAAAAATCAGAAAAAATCGGAAAAAAAAACAGAAAAAATCGAAAAAAAATTGGGGAAAAATTGGGAAAAAATCGGAAAAAAAATCGGGAAAAAATCAGAAAAAATTGGAAAAAAAAAATGGAAATAAACCGTCAAATAAAAGGAAAAAATTGGAAAAAATTTGAAATAAATGGGGAAAAAAATCGGAAAAAATCGGGAAAAAAAATCAGAAAAAAATCGAAATAAAATTGGGAAAAAATGGGAAAAAACTCGAAAAAAATTGAAATAAATGGGAAAAAAAAACGGAAAAAAAATCAGGATAAAAAGGAAAACTCTTGAGCTGCGAGGTCGCCACTGTCCCCCCCGAGGCCGCGGCCGTTTTGGGGCCGTTTGGGGCGGATTTCACAACAAGGGGTTCCCGGAGAAATACTGGCAGGCGGTCCCGGCTGAGCTTTTTCTCCTTCATGCGGCGGTTCTGGAACCAGATCTTGACCTGGCGGTCGCTGAGGTTCAGCAGCCGCGAGAGCTGCAGCCGCTTCTCTTTGTTGATGTAAACGTTGAAGAAAAATTCCCGCTCCAGCTCCCGGATCTGGAACTTGGAGTACGGACAGCGCTTCTTCCTCGCGCGGGGAGCGCCTGGAAACGGGGGGAAAATGGGGAAATTAGGGGGGAAATAATGGGGGAAAATAATGGGGAATGAGGGGGGGAAATAAGGGGGAATGAGGGGGGGGAATGAGGGGGAATGAGGGGGGGAAATAATGGGGATTTGGGGGGGAAATGAGGGGGAATGAGGGGGGGAAATAATGGGGAATTGGGGGGGATATAATGGGGATTTGGGGGGGATATAATGGGGATTTGGGGGGGATATAATGGGGATTTGGGGGGGAAATAATGGGGAATTGGGGGGAATTCGGGGGGAAATGAGGGGGAATTGGGGGGAAATAAGGGGGAATGAGGGGGAAAATAAGGGGATTTGGGGGGGAAATAATGGGGAATGTGGGGGGGGAAATAATGGGGAATTGGGGGGGAAATAATGGGGAATGTGGGGGGGAAATAATGGGGAATTGGGGGGGAAATAATGGGGAATGAGGGGGAAATTTGGGGGAAAATAAGGGGGAATTGGGGGGTGATAATGGGGAAATGTGGGGGGGAATAAAGGGGAAATTGGGGGTGAAATAAAGGGAAAATTCGGGGGAAATTAGGGGGAAATGTGGGGGGGGGAAATAAGGGGGAATTGGGGGGGAATAAAGGGGAATGTGGGGGGAATAAAAGGGAAATTTGGGGAAAATGTGGGGGGAAATAAAGGGGGAATGTGGGGGGGAATAATGGGGAATTGGGGAGGAATGAAGGGGAAATTGGGGGGGGAAATGAAGGGGAATTGGGGGGAAATGAAGGGGAAATTCGGGCTGAAATGTGGGGGCAAATAAGGGGAAATTGGGGGGAAATGAAGGGGGAATGTGTGGGGAATAATGGGGAATGTGGGGGGGAAATAAAAGGGAAATTTGGGGGAAAATAAAGGGGAATGTGGGGGGGAAATAAGGGGGAAATAAAGGGAAAATGTGGGGGAAAATAAGGGGAATTTGGGGGGGAATGAAGGGGGAAATGAGGGAGGAATAATGGGGAATGTGGGGGGGAAATAAAGGGGGAATTTGGGGGGAATGAGGGGAAATTGGGGGGGGAAATGAAGGGGGAATTTGGGGGGGAATGAAGGGGGAATGAGGGGGGAAATAATGGGGAATGTGGGGGGGGAAATAAAGGGGAAATTGGGTGGAAATAAAGGGGAAATTGGGGTGAAATAAAAGGGAAATTTGGGGGTGACATAAAGGGAAATGTGGGGGGAAATAAAGGGGAAATTTGGGGTGAAATAGCGGGGGAAAAATGGGGGTTGGGGATGGGGAGGGTTGCCGAAAATGGGGTGAAATACACTGGGAATATGTGGAATTATTAAAGGGGTGAGTGGGCCGGAAATGGGGAAATTATCGTGGGGGAAAATGGAATTATAGAGGGGGTGGGTGGGCCAAAAATGGGATAAATAGCATGGGGAAAAATGGAATTATAGAGATGGTGGGTGGGCCAAAAAGGGGATAAATAGCATGGGGAAAAATGGAATTATAGAAGGGGTGAGTGGGCCAAAAATGGGGTAAAACCACGGGAAAATAGGGAATTCTTAACGGGGTGGGTAGGCTGAAAATGGGATAAATAACATAGGAAAAATGATGATTAAAAAATAGGATGGGTAGCTGGAAAAAGAGATTAATATATTGAAAAAAGAAGTGATTTAGAAAGGGATGGGTGGCCAGAAAATGGGATAAATAATAACCTGAAGAAAGAGGTGATTTAAAAAAGAGATGGGCGGCCCAAGGAAGGGGTAAATACACCGGAAAAATATGAAATAAAACAGAGGGTGGGTGGCCTGGGAAAGGGATGAATATGGTGAAAAAAATATAAATTTTAAAAGGGATGGGTGGCCCGAAAATGGGATAAAGATACGGAAAAAACCAAGGAATGAGGGGCCCGAAAAAGGAATAAATAACCTGGAAAGGATCAATAATCCCAAAAAGGGATGGGGAGCCCAAAAAGGGATGGAAAACCCCAAAAGGAATCAAGAATAAATAACCCAAAAGGAACAATTAACCCCAAAAGGAACAATTAACCCCAAAAGGAGTAAATAACCCCAAAAAATGAATAAATACCCCAAAAAATTAATAAATATCCTGAAAGAACAAATAACCTCAAAAGGAATAATTGCCGTAAAAGGAATAAATACCCCAAAAATGAATAGATACCCCAAAAAATGAATAAATACCCAAAAAAAAGAATAAATATCCTGAAATAATAAATAACCTCAAAGGGAATAATTAACGTAAAAGGAAAAAATGCCCCAAAAATGAGCAATAATCCCAAAAATTAACAAATATCCTCCAAAATGAAGAAATATCCCCCAAAATGAACAAATATCCCCAAAAATGAGCAAATATCCCCAAAAATGAGCAACGCCCCCAAAAATGAACAAATCTCCCCCAAAAATGAGCAAACCCCCCCAGAATGAGCAAACCTCCCCAGAATGAGCAAATCCCCCCAAAAATGAGCAAACCCCCCCAAACATGAGCAAATCCCCCCAAAAATGAGCAAACCCCCCCAAACATGAACAAATCCCCCCAAAAATGAGCAAATCCCCCCAAAAATGAGCAAATCTCCCCCAAAATGAGCAAACCCCCCCAGAATGAGCAAATCCCGAACCCGCGGCTGGAATTTGGGATTCCCGGGAGGGCTCGGGGCGGATTTTGGGGCCGTTTTCCCCTCCCGGGCGGGGATTTGGGGCGGATTTTGGGGATTTTGGGGGCGCAGCCGGGCCTGGGGCTCCGGGCGCGGTTCGGGATCAAAGGCGGCGCCGGGGGCGGCCCCGCTTAGGCCGGGATTAGCGGGGCCGGGCTTTGATCAACGCCAGCCTAGGCCGGGATTAGCGGGGCCGGGCTTTGATCAACGCCAGCCTAGGCCGGGATTAGCGGGGAATCGAAACCGAAGGGGAAACGCGGGGTGCGGGAGGGCGCCGGGAAATGGGGGAAAAGAGACCGGGAAAAGCCAAAAAAAGGGGAAAAACAGCCCGGGAAAAGGGGGAAAAACAGCCCGGGAAAAGCCAAAAAGGGGAAAGGGAACCGGGAAATGGGGGAAAAACAGCACCGGGAAAATCCCAAAGGGGAAAAGAGAACCGGGAAAAGCCAAAAAAGGGGAAAGGGAACAGGGAAAAGCCCAAAAAGGGGAAAAGGGAACCGGGAAAAGCCAAAAAGGGGAAAGGGAACAGGGAAAATCCCAATGGGGAAAAGGGAACTGGAAAATGGGGGAAAACAGCCCGGGAAAAGCCAAAAAAGGGGAAAAGGAACAGGGAAAAGGGGGAAAACAGCACCGGGAAAATCCCAAAAAGGGAAAAGGGAACCGGGAAATGGGGGAAAAACAGCACCGGGAAAAGCCAAAAAGGGGAAAGGGAACCGGGAAAATCCCAATGGGGAAAAGGGACCCGGAAAACCCCAAAAGGGAAAAGAGACCCGGGAAAACCCCAAAAGGGAAAAGGGAACCGGGAAAATCCCAATGGGAAAAGGGAACCGGGAAAACCCAAAAGGGAAAAACAGCACCGGGAAAATCCCAATGGGGAAAAAGAACCGGGAAAATCCCAAAGGGAAAAGAGACCCCAGAAAATCCCAAAAGGGAAAAGAAAACAGGGAAAATCCCAAAAGGGAAAAGAGACCCCGGAAAATCCCAAAAGGGGGAAAAGAGACCCCAGAAAAATCCCAAAGGGGAAAAGAGACCCCGGAAAATCCCAATATTGAAAAGAGACCCCGGAAAATCCCAATATTGAGAAGAGCCCCCAAAGCCCATCCCAAAAGGCAGAACACCCCAAAAATGGCACAAAAGGCAGAGCATCCCCCCGGGAAAATCCCGAAAGGGAAAATTTCCCCCCAAAAATATCCCTAAAGGAGGAACAGCCAAGGAAAAGATCCCAAAAAGCAAAACAGCTCCAGAGACCGTCCCGAAAGGGAAAAGAGCAGAGAGAAAAATCCCAAAAAGGCAAAAAAAGCCCCCAAAAAATTTCACTGGGCAGAACAGCCCCGAAATCCACCCCGAAAGGCGAAACAGCCCCGAAAATTCCCCGAAACCGCCCCAAAACCTTCCCGGGTCCCCAGAGCGGCGCCGAGGGGGCGCGGGGAGAGGGAAATATCAGATAAAATAAAATAAAATCAGATAAAATAAAATAAAATAAAATAAAATCAGATAAAATCAAATAAAAACAGATAAAATCAAATAAAAACAGATAAAATCAAATAAAATCAAATATAAACAAACAAAATCAAATAAAATCAAATAAAATCCAATAAAATCAAATAAGATCAAATCAAATCCCTCAAATACGAATTAAAATTGGGTTTAAAATCGCGTTTGGAGCCGGAGCGAGGGGAAATCCTCTCCTGACCGAGCCCGGCGGGGAGGGGAGGATGCGCCCCGGAAAATGGGGGAATTTCTCATTTCCGCCCCGAATTTCTCCTTTTCGCCCCGAATTTCTCCTTTTCGCCCCGAATTTCCCATTTCCGCCCGAATTTCTCCTTTTCGCCCCGAATTTCTCATTTCCGCCCCGAATTTCCCATTTTCGCCCCGAATTTCCCATTTCCGCCCTAAATTTCTCATTTTCGCCCCGAATTTCTCCTTTTCGCCCCGAATTTCTCATTTCCACCCCGAATTTCTCCTTTTCGCCCCGAATTTCTCCTTTTCGCCCCCAGTTCCGCCGGTTCCCCGAGCCCGAGCGCGGCGCGGTTTAATGGGGCCGGGTTCTGCCCAATCGCCTCCCGCCGCCCGAGCCCGGCTTTAAAACGCCCGCCTAAGTTCACGATCAAAGTTAATTTGGCACCGGCCGCGCTTTTAAAATTTCACAGACTCCGAGACGCAGAGCAGGACCCGGCCGGGCTTAACATCCCCGGCTTCACCTTTTATTTTATTTTCCTTTTTTTTTTTTCTTTTTTGTTTCTCTCGCCGCTTTTTTTCATTTGCTTTTTTTATTATTATTTTTTTTCCCTTTTATTTTTTTTTGCCGCCATCGTAAAAAGAAAAAAAAAAAAAGGAGAGAAAGAAGAAAGCGCTGCGGAGCTTCTCGTAAAACCGCGGCCGCGCTTATAAAACTGCACATAAAAACCTCGGCTCGGCAAAGCGCGGCCGGGCTGGGCTGCCCCCGTTAAACTCGGCTTTGCTTTCTGTGAGCTCGGCTTTGCCTTCTCTGGGCTGCCCCCGTTAAACTCGGCTTTGCTTTCTGTGAGCTCGGCTTTGCTTTCTGTGAGCTCGGCTTTGCCTTCTCTGGGCTGTCCCCGTTAAACTCGGCTTTGCTTTCTGTGAGCTCGGCTTTGCCTTCTCTGGGCTGCCCCCGTTAAACTCGGCTTTGCCTTCTCTGAGCTCGGCTTTGCCTCCTGTGAGCTCCCCGCGTTAAACTGGGCTCTATCCACTCTGAGCTCCCCGCGTTAAACTCGGCTTTGCTTTCTGTGAGATCCCCGCGTTAAACTCGGCTTTGCCTTCTCTGGGCTGCCCCCGTTAAACTCGGCTTTGCTTTCTCTGAGCTCGGCTTTGCTTTCTCTGAGCTCCCCGCGTTAAACTCGGCTCTGTCTGCTCTGGGGTCCTCTGCGTTAAACTCGGTTCTGTCCGCTCTGAGCTCGGTTTATCCTACTCTAAACTCGGCTTTGCCTCCTCTTTAAGAGCTGCCCCGCGTTAATCTCGGTTTTACCCACTCGGAGCTGCCCCGCGTTAATCCCGGCTCTGCCCTGAGCTCCCCGCATTAATCCCGACTCTATCCTGGGCTCCCCGCATTAATCCCGGCTTTACCCTGGGCTCCCCGCATTAAACCCGGCTCTACCCTGGGCTTTCCCCGTTAATCCCGGCTCTGCCCGGGGCTCCCCGCCTTAAACCCGGCTCTACCTACTCTGAGCGCCGCTCTTGGGGCCCTCCTTGGCCGCGGCCGCCGGGGCCGCCGGGGCCGAGCCGGGGTTGGCGTTTTCCTCCTCCTCCTCCTCTTCCTCCTCCTCCTGCGCGTTCCCCTCCGCGCTCCTCCCGCCGTCCGCGCTCTCGGCCGCGCTCTCGGGCGCGCAGAGCGCGGCGTTCTCGAAGAATCGATCGAAGCCCTGCGGCAGCACCGAGCCCTTGCTGGCGGCCGGGTAAAACCCGGGCGCGGCCGCCGGGGCGGGCTGGGGGTGCTGGGGGTGCTGTGGGTGGTGATGATGATGATGGTGGTGGTGGTGGTGGTGGAAACCCTCGCCCTTCATCAGCACCTCGGGCAGGCACTCGCGGTGCAGCAGCTCCTCCGCCGAGCTCCAGGCCGCGTAATTCCCGCGCGGCGGCGGCGGCGGCCACTTGGCCGCGGGCTCCAGCGCGTAGGGCACCTCGCGGGGCACGCCCGGGTACGGCGGGTACGGCAGCTGCCGGCCCGGCGCGAACGGCGGCACCGCGGGCAGCTCGGGCACGTAGTAGGCGCAGCCGGGCACGTACAGGCTCCCCCCGCGCTCGCCGAAGTCGCCGCCGCCTCCGCCCGCGCGCTCCTTGCGCGCCTGCGAGGGGCAGAAGTTGCCCAGGTTGACCGAGTTGAACATCGCTGGCCCCGCCGCTCGCACGGGGCTTTTTTTGGGGGGTTTTGTTATTTTATATTCGGCCGCGCTGCTCGGGCTTCTGAGGCGCTTTTTTTTTTTTTTTTTTGCTTTTTTTTTTGCTTTTTTTTTAAGGGGCTTTTGCTTTTTTTTTTTTGGTGGTGGAAAAGGAGGGGGTGGGAGGGGGTAGGGGGGGGGGAAAGCAGCGCGGAAGGGGCGGAAAATAAATTAAAAAAAGAAAAAAAAAGAAAAAAAAGGAAGGGAATTTTGGGGAGGCTGGGATCGGATGACGCGAGCTCCGCCTCAGCCGCCGGCAGCGCCACGTGACGGAGCCCGGGCAGGAACCGGGAATTACTCGGGAATTGGGGAGTCGGGGATGGAGGAGACGGGAATTGGGGAGTTGGGAATTGGGGAGCCGGGGATGGAGGAGACGGGAATTGGGGAATTCGGGGATTGGGGAATTGGGGAATTCGGGGATCGGGGAATTGGGGAATTGGAGAGTTCGGGGATTGAGGAGTTGGGGAATTCGGGGATTGGGGAATTGAGGAGTTGGGGAATTGAGGAATTGAGGAGTTGAGGAGTTGGGGAAATGAGGAGTTGAGGAGTTGAGGAATTGAGGAGTTCAGGAACTGGGGAATTGGGGAATTGCGGAGTTCAGGAATTGAGGAATTGGGGAATTGGGGAATTGGAACCGGGCACGGCCGGGCCGGGAGCGCCGCGGGCGGGGACAGAGCCGGGCCCGAGCCCCGGGCGGGCGCAGCGACCCCGGCCCCGCTCCGGCCCCGCTCCGGCCCCGGTCCCGCTCCAGCCCCAGCCCCGCTCCGGCCCCGGCCCCGCTCCGGCCCCGGCCCCGCTCCAGCCCCGCTCCGGCCCCGGCCCCGCTCCGGCCCCGCTCCGGCCCCGCTCCGGCCCCGGCCCCGCTCCAGCCCCGCTCCGGCCCCGGCCCCGCTCCAGCCCCAGCCCCGCTCCGCGGGCACCGCCGGGGGCTCCGTCCCCTCCTCTCCCGACGCTTTCATCGCTCTCCTCCCCTTTCGCTCTTTTCCTTTCTCTTTTCCTTCCCCTTTTTCCCCTTTCCCCCTTTCCTGCTCTTTTCCCCTTTTCTTGCCCCTTTCCCCCTCTCCATCCCCTTCTTCTCTTTCCTTCCCCTTTTTGCTCTTTTTTCCCCTCTCCGTCTCTCCTCTCACTCCTTTTCTATTTCTTCAATTATTTTTTCCCGTGTTTTCCCCTCTTTCCTCTTTCTCCCTCTTTCTTCTCTCTCTTTCCCTCCAATATTTCAATTCGATTTTTCCTCTTTTTCCCTTTCTCGCTCCTTTTTCTCCTCTCTCTCCTCCCCTCCCCTCGCTCTTTCCCTTCCAATTTTTAATTTCTATTTTTCCTCTTTTTCCCTTTCTTGCTCTTTTTCCCTCTCTTTCCCCCTTTTTCCCCTTTTCTTTCCTCCCCTTTTTGCTCGTTTTTATCTTTCTGTCTCTCCTCTCACTTTTTCTCCTTTCCTTCCATTTTTTTTTTCTTGGTTTTCTCCTCTTTCCTCCTTTATTTTTCCCCTCTCTCCTCCCCTCTTCTCGCTCTTTCTCTTTTCCTTCCATTTTTATTTTGAGGTTTTTTTCCTTTTTCCCATTTCTTGTTCTTTTCCCCCTCTTCCTTCCCCTTTTCTTTCCTTCTCCTCTTTTTGCCACTTTTTCCTCTCTTTTCTCCTTTTCTTCCCTTTTTCCCCGTTTTTCTCTCCCCCTTTTTTCCCCTTTTTCCCTTCCACTTCCTCGCTCCTTTTTTACCTTTCCCCGCCCTTTTCGCTCTTTTCTTTTCCTTTTTCCCCTTTTCATTTTTCCTTTTTTCCCCCCCTTTATTTCCTCCCCCTTTTCCCCACCCCATTTTTCCCCTTTTTTCCCCTTTTTTCCCCCATTTTCCCCTCCCGCCGCCCCCACCGCTCCGAGGGCCGGGAATTCCCATTTTCAGCCTTTTTAATCCTCTGATTATTCTAATTATTATTATTATTATTATTATTATTATTATTATTATTATTATTATTATTATATTATTATTATTATTATTATTATTATTATTATTATTATTATTCCGCAGGAGCTTCAGGCGGCTCCATAAAACCCCGGCAGTTTTAGGGGGATTTTCCCCAATAAACGCAAATTCAGCGAAATTCAGCGAATCCCCGCGGCCGGGGGAATTGGCGTTAATTAATGAGCCCCTAATGAGCGCTAATTGCGCCTCTCCACGTGACTCGCATGGAAAAAATGAAAAAATTCCAGTCCCGGAGCGCGCGGATTTCCCAACTTCAAACACGGAGCAGGCCCGGGCGTTTCATCCATTAGAAATGAATTAAAAATGAATTTAAAATGAATGTAAAATGAATGTAAAATGAATGTAAAATGAATTTTAAATGAATTAAAAAAGAATTTAAAACGAATTTTAAATGAATTAAAAATGAATGTAAAATGAATTTAAAATGAACGTAAAATGAATTTAAAATGAATGTAAAATGAATGTAAAATGAATGTGAAATGAATTTTAAAAATAATGTGAAATGAATGTAAAATGAATTATAAAATGAATGTAAAATGAATTATAAAATGAATATAAAATGAACTTTAAAATGAATGTAAAATGAATTATAAATGAATTTTGAAATTAATTTTAAATAATTTTTAGGAGGTTTTAGGATGGATTTTAAAATGAATTTAAAATAATTTTTAGGTGGTTTTAAAATGAATTTTAAAATGAATTTTAAATAATTTTTGGGTGGTTTTAGAATGGATTTTAAAATGAATTTTTAATAATATTTGTAATGTTTTTTTAACGCTATTTTGACCGAGTTTAGGTGCGGATCTCGCGGATTCTGCAGGAAAACGAAGGGCGGGGATCCCCGCCCGCTCCGCGGCCCCAGCTCCCCCTTTTCGCTGGGATTTCCAATTAAAAATTTCTTCGCTGGGATTTCCAATTAAAAATTTCTTCGCTGGGATTTTCGCTGGAATTTTCACCCCCTCAGCCTTGAATTTACCCCAAATCCGAGGCGGCGCCGCCCGAATTCAAATTAAACGAGAGGAAATTAAAAACGGGAATTTTGGTTAAATTCGTTTGTCTGCCCCGGGACCCTCGGCGAGCCCCGGCCCGCAGGAATTCACCCCAAAAATCGAAATAATCCAAGGGCGGCCGGGAATGGGGGGGTTGGCAACGGGATTGGGCGAATTTCAGTGAAAAAAGGGATTTTAATGAAAAAAAACCGCTCGGGAAAGGGGAAAAATGGGAAATTCCGGCGGGGTCGGGGTTTGGTTGTGGAGGAGAGAAAATGGCCCAAATAATTGGGGATTAATAATTGGGGATTAATAATTGGGGGTAAATAACGGGGATTAATAATTGGGGTTAAATAATTGTGGATTAATAACTGGGGATAAATAATTGGGGATTAATAATTGGGGGTAAACAATTGAGAATAATTATTTGGGATAAATAATTCGGGATAAATAATTTATTGGGAATAAATAATTGGGGAGAAATGATTTTTGCTAAATAATTGGGGATAAACGATTGGGAATAAATAATTGGGGATAAATAATCGGGATAAATAATTGGGGATAAATTATTTATTGGGAATAAATGATTTGGGGATAAATAATTGGGGATAAATGATTTGGGGATAAATAATTGGGGGTAAATAATTGATTGGGGATAAATAATTGGGAATAAATAATTGGGAATAAATATTTCGGGATAAATAATTGATTGGGGATACATAATTGATTGGGGATTAATAATTGGGGATTAATAATTGATTGGGGATAAATAATTGATTTGGAATAAATAATTGGGGATAAATAATTCGGAGATAAATAAATGGGGATTAATAAATGGGGATAAATAATTGGGGATAAACATTTGGGGATAAACATTTGGGGAATAATAATAGGGGATAAATAAGTTTGGGATAAAATAATTGGGGATAAATAATTGATTTGGGATAAATAAATTGGGGATAAATAATTGGGAATAAATAATTGGGGATAAATAACTGGGGATTAATAATTGGGAATAAATAATTGGGGATTTCACCTGGGCTGGGAATTCGGATCCTTCCCCCATGGGAATAAAAACTCGGGAAATTCGGGTTTTTCTTTATTTTTTTTTTCCCCATTATTTTTATTTCCAGGCTGCGCCTCGGGAATCCCCGCCCTGAAAAAGCGGAAATTTGGGATGGGATTGGATAAAAAATGGGGAATTTGGGATGGGATTGGATCAAAAATGGGGAATTTGGGGTGGAATTGGATCAAAAATGGGGAATTTGGGGCGGGATTGGATCAAAAATGGGGAATTTGGGATGGGATTGGATCAAAAATGCGGAATTTGGGGTGGGATTGGATCAAAAATGGGGAATTTGGGCAGGGATTTGTTTGAAGGGGTGGAAATTCCCAATAAAAGGAGGGGAAGGTTTTAGGAGGGGTTTGTCCCAAATCCAGCAGGAAATTTAAGGGCAAAAAGGGAAATTTCAGGGGCGGGAAAAGCCTCGAGGGCGGCTTTGGGTTGGCTTCGCTCTCGGAGAGAAAAAAATCGAAATAAAACCAGAAATCCGCCCCAAATAATCGGAATTGCGCCCCAAAAACCACCCGGATTTCACCCCAAAATAACAAATCCGCCCCAAATAATGGGAATTTCACCCCAAAATGAGAAACCCGCCCCCGGTAACGGCGATTTCGCCCCCAAAAAATGGGAATTTCACCCCAAAATCCCCAATCCGCCCCCCAGGCTCTCCCCGGTTTAATTCCATTTATTTCGCTCCCACCCCCCCCCAATTGGGGATTTTCGGCCGAATTCCAGGGGAAAAAGTGGGAAAATGGGAAAAAACCCTGGAGAGGGGGGGCAGCGGCTGGAATCCGAATATCCCCAAATTTGGGGGGAAATGGGGGAAAATTTTGATTTTTCTGGAGGGAAGAGCCCGGGGGGCGAAAATTCCTAAAGAGGAAGAAAAAAAAACCCCGGGAATTTGGGCAGCGCCCCCCGAACCC